ATATTGCCTGATGTTTTTCCCTAACAGCCCTGATAGCGACAAGTCATGGAATTTTGCTTTCTTCAGTGTCTAGAAAAGCACATCTCTCTGAGTACAATATTTCCTGCAAAGCAGTAAAGAGCCTGCTTCCTGTGCTTCTTTAAGAGTGTCATCTGTTACGGCGGGCAGCAAGTCAGTGGACTTCATGACAAGCATTTGGAACTGGGGTACATATCCTGCCTTGGCTTTGGCTGCCCTATCTGCTGCATTGTTACCCCAGGCCAAGTAGTTGTCTGCCGTACTGTGGCCTTTTTGTTTAAGATACGCGCTGTACCGGCTGCATGTCTTGTGCACGGAGGTTCTCTGTTCTCAACTCTGTCCAGTGTGATACTTATGTACATCAGTATTGACCTACATCCCCCCCTTTTCTGAAATAGAATGCCGTTAACAGTGTTCTCATTTTCAGAAATATCGAGCCTTATATATCAGTTATTAAATATCAGTTATATATTATATATTATTATTACTTATATATCAGTCATTAAATATCAGCCTTCTTCCGGTCCCCCAGTTTGATCCCACTAACGATCAATCTCTCTGTCTGTTCGCATTGCTCGCGGAAGCTTCCGTGAATTGGAACGCATAAATCACTCTTTTCAAACTCTCCTTCCATGATTGACTTCGTTTCTATTATCTGACAAGGTTGATATGTGTTCGCTTGTATTTATTTAATATACTGGACAATTCTTGTCTTTACTCTTAATGTCCTTATTCTATTTATTTGAATGCCATGTCCTTAATTCAAAGTTTCCAGCGTGAAACAACACAGAATATTGTTACACACCCTGTTCGCCAGGGCAGCAGCTGACCACGAATGAGCTTCCTCTGTTTGGTGCACACTTTGCCTCCACTCAACTCTACTTCTGCTGTTTTCCTCTCAATTATTACACAGATTTGACGTAAAAAATCACACAGAGTTTATTCCCTTATACAGTCTGTCCGGCTTTTTGTACGATGTTTATTCCAACAGATAATTGCGGTTTTTAAGCGCCCTTCGGCACCCCTCTTTAGAGATGCGACACTTACATGGAGTTTAATCCCAAACCACAAAAATCCTTTATCGTCACATTCAGCCTTCCAGATTATGACTTCGTACTATCTGAATTCTATCTCCGTGTACTACTTATTTTCTAAGTATGTACTGTGTTCAGAGTGGTGTTCTTAAATTATGTTTGCAGTTTTACATATATTTATCCCCGTACAGTCAGGCAGATTTTTATTGTGCGATGTATATTTCAACAGATAGCGTGACTTCCTGAAGCAAGCTTCGACAACCCCCTTTCGGCGGCTGCGGCTTCAGGCAAGGAGTCGGAACCCAGTCAACAAAATCTCTTTATCGTCACGTTTAATGAGCCTGATTAACCCCACAGCAAGAGTTGTGATGAGATTCGGTCGTTCCAAATGGTTAGTTGGAAGTCGCGTATTTCTCCTCTCGTATCACCCACATATAACAATTCTAGCAATTTTCAAAGAGGGATTGCCCACTCGATTGTTATTCAATAGGAAGTTCTTTATAACAACCTTTTACCCACGAGGTAACCGTATAATCCTTACTTGATTTACGGGGACTTTAACCCATATGTTTTTTACGTCCTCGCAGTCTACACAATCTCCCCAGCGAGTCAGCCGTGCACGACTAGACTACCTCACGGCGGACCTCGCTGGTTCACTTTTCTTTCTTTAGTGAGTTAAGGCACGGGACTTAGCTACCCGCCTCTTACAAACACGTTATAACTTATAATTCTCTTTGTGCCTTAGGTACAGGACTGCTTTACCTGACTCTAAGCACTTTCTTACTTAACTAGAATATGTATTGTATTTTTTACCGTGACTAAGAACACTGAGAATGCCGCTGACAACTCTAAAATGTTGTAGTATAGTCAATCACAGATTTTGGTAATCAAAGAGGTGTCTGCTCACCTTTTGTATATGGCGCCTTGGTTTAGTTGTCAGCGGTGTCAAGGTGTCCTCCCCTGGACTGAATTCCGTCCGCTGGCTGTCGGTGTTCCTTCTATAGACCAGCACTCATCACGTCGCGGGTCACCATAATTGTTGTAGCAAACACCGTGGTGGTGGCTTAAAGCCCACCTCCGCTACGCGCCGTCTGTTAGATGAGCCTGGTTATATTTAATAAAAGAAGTAGTTCAAAACACCGGAATAAAGGTTATAACAATAATCTGATTTTACTGGTAAAAAACAAAACACTTATACAAGTTTACAGAGTACTCTGGACTTCCTAGTTCTACTGCCGTGCAATACAGGTATCGGGACCAGCTAGTCAGAAACAGGAAGCATTTTGCATGAATAAACAACAGTATTCATATCCATATTTTGGGGCGGAGATGTGTTGACTCTTCCTTCCCATTTTACTCCGAAGCGAATCAGAGAGTCCGTGGGGAGGAGCTGTGTGAGCTGCTCACTCCCCCAGGTGTTTTTACTGGTTGGATTCACTTCTGGTCGGGTCCAATACAGCGAATCAGAGTTCTGGGAAAAAAGTATGTTTCTTCTGAGCAGAGCGTGAAATTCGGAAGTTCACAAGGACAGAGTCAATCTTTATCTCTGCACCTGTATTCACTCCTTTACTTTCCCAAGGAATATTTCACACAAACTATTCTTTCCCAGACAACCAAACATTGTACACAGATATATTGATGCCCAGAAAGGACCTTGAAAAGAATATGTGTGTGTGCTGGTGGGAGGAGGTGTATGTGTGTGTAGGGATATATGGGTCAGTGAGTTGTAAGTGAGAAAGAGAATATATATAAGATTACTTAAAACAGTTCAAACAAAACATGTTCACTAAAATACAGTTCAAAATAATACATGTTTACTTCAATACAGTTAGAACCATGTCTGTTACCTTTACATGTTCAAAACCTTTCAAAACGTCACACAATCTGATAAGCACCATGCCCTGAATACATCGATAGCTGTTTTCAATCACAGGTCATTTTGATGAATTTCTGAAATGTTGATTGTAGGCAGTGTTAAGATTTGGAGACTTGGACCGCATGGAAAGCACACAGAGGAAATATCAGTTCTTAAAAGGAGACTACATGTAGATGAAGCACAGTGAATGTTGTGCACATAGGTGACTTAGTTGAATTTCTATGAATTTCTGAAATATCTGAAGTAGATGGTGTTCTCTCTCTTGCTGCCTTCACCCCTCCCCATGATGGGCCATCAGGAGAAGGGGTCACTCGCCTCTATGCTGCTGCTGTTGTTGTGTGTGTTATTGTTTCTGTAAGTATGTGTGTGTGTAGAAAAGGCCCCAAAGTTATAAGTTATTGCTATATATATTCAGTTATCATACAGAGTTGATACCTGTTTAGTTATGTCTTCATAGTGGGGAGGGGCTAACCCACGTGTTTTGGGTGACGTCATATTTCAGACGGTAATGTGCGTCTGACGGGGAGTTGCAGGAAGGTTATACAGTTTGTGCAGTGGCTGTAATTTTGTTAGTATTGTGTGCGTAAATGAAGGTGAGTGTTTGTTCCACAGTACTGCCAGTTATGATGTTCTACACTATTATTATTTGTGATAACTTCTGTGCCGATGTGGCTTCATTGCAGACTCTCCGTGCTCCATGTGATCTGTGCATGCTGCGTGCATGTTTGTTACTGCGGCTCATTAAGTCACTCGTTAAGTGAGTCGGCACTCCCGTCTCAAAGTTTAGGAGTATATACACCGTGTTGAGTGGCACAGATTTATTATGAATGTTTCAGATGTAGTTTATGTGGATAAATGTGGCATCAAATGTGAGATGTTTAGTGTTTACTTGTTCATTTATTGCTTCGCTAAACTGACTACCGGAATTAGCATGTCTGTAGCATTTTACCCACGACAGGAATTGGAACGTTAGCATTAGCGGTAGCTTAGCTTGGATATTTGTTTGTCCCTTGTGTTTGACATTCTTAAGTGTTTACTATTATATTTGAAGGGAGACATGTTATATTATAGTGGTGTCTAGAATATTATTCTATAAGGTTAGATAATATGATATATATTTATGTATGCATAAGTTTGAATGTATTTAGTTTATTTCCCCTATAGGAAAACTACACACTCCCACACACACACACACACACACACACACACACACACCACACCACACACCACACACACAGACCCACACCACACACACACACACACACGAACACACACACACAGCACATACAACAATGTTCAATATCTGTATGTCTGAGTCAGTAAATAAGTCAAGTCCTCATCTCAGCTCCTCCTTTCTTCTGTTCTGGATCTTTGTCTTTAGGTGTTTCTGACCCACCGGGGGGGAACCTGAGTTTTATCCTTAACTCTCCACTACAGTCTGTGTGTGTGTGTGTGTGTGTGTGTGTGTGGGTGGGTGTGTGTGTGTGTGTGTGTATGTGTGGTGTGTGTGTGTGTGTGTGTGTGTGTGTGTCTGGAAAATCTGATTCCCATATAGGGAAATATAGTGAGTGAAATCAGTTCAACCAAGAAGTATCTTATGTGTGCACATGCACTTAACGAATCAGGTTAATGTTACGGATTGGTTAGAGACATGGCGATCGGTGCGGCGCGTGCGTGGATCCATGAAGTACCCCCAACGTGCGATGCCTGCGAAGGCCCGCTCATCGCTGCTTGCAGCTTTAATTTGTATTTTTATACATTCTCAATTATACGTAGTTTGGATAAAGTAATTACATAAAGGTAATCTGAATGGTACGTTCTCTACTGAGAAAGGTCTACAACTTAACAACAGTTCACTCAAATGTTAACAAAACTGTTTCTTTGGAGAGCAAGGTTGATAGAGCTGGTGATGCTAAGCAAAGTCACAAGACTTACACGCTAAACAGAAGTAGCTACAGAAAAGGCAAATGTGGAAACACCCACGACCAGGCTAAGAATAAGGTGAAGACTGCAGAGAAAGACACTGAGGCTCAGAAGGTTAAAGACCCAGGAGACAAAGTGAAGACATCACATCAGCTATTTGTTTTCATTTATTGTCAGCGTGAAGCAAATAGTGATTCAGTTTGAATTTAAAACGTAGACATTATCACACTGTGTGGATCTGTTTCCATCTTAAAGTCATGAGTGATTACATGTGATTGATATCAGCTGAGGACATGTTGCTGTCCTGCAGAACTACTGCACAGGACGGACCTTCATGCTGATGGATTTCAGGGAGTAGCTGTAACCCTTCCAAGAGAGCCAGATCACTCCTTTAAGTGTATTAGGGTCATCAGCCCCCCAAAGATAAACCCCGTTGGGATTTGTGTGGATACAAATGTTGTACCAGAACCCCCCCAGGCGTTCTCTGGCACAGTTAGAAGTCCAGGAGTCCTGGTCTTTGTCGAAGGTGGAGAACTTCTGTCCGTTATGAATACTCATGGAGTCTCCTACAGAAACACAACAAGTGTATAATCAGATAATTATAATACAACTAATACAGGGATGAAGTATTTTCTGTGTTGGTCCCTGAAGGCAGCATGTCCCTGGTCCAATGGGATTTCTCCATGTGATTTTGTAATATTGCAGAAAATAATCTCCACACATTAAAACACTTTATGATTTCTGAAGTTTAAATGCATCTCCAGAATATATATACCAAACATTAGGCTGTAAAGGAACTACAGACGGTCCCTTTGGGTAATGTTCTCTTTGTCATCAGTCATTAGCCTGAGGACAGCCCAGATCATTCATTGTTAAATATATAGGAAGGGATACCTCCAGATGTGTGATATACAGAAGAATGTCATTGGCATATAGCCACAGTTCCTGATCTGCTGTTGTTACCCCCCCTTATCCAGAGGTGGGGACTCGAGTCACATGACTTGACTCGAGTCAGACTCGAGTCGCATATTTTTGGACTTGAGACTTGCTTGACTAACATTGATAAAAGACTTGACTTGACTTTGACTTGGTATTCATGACTTGAGACTTGACTTAAGCTTGAGACAGATGACTTGAAAGGACTTGTCTGTTTAAAATTAAATATTTGCGTTGGTTTTTGTAGTGAGATATTACGTTTAGTTTTTTCGAAAAATGTGATTGGGTGATTATAGCGCCATGCGCGCAAACCTGGCAACCCACTCGGCAGGAGCGTCAGTTAACATTGCAGCGGCTAGCGTTACTGCACAAATAGTGAAGTTTGGATTCAAGGATTATGTTGTCGATGACGCTAATAAGAAGAGAACAGCGGTATGCAGGGTCTGCAGCATAAAGATCAGTGACACGACCACCACAACATCCAACTTCATTCGTCACTACACAAAAAAACCCACAGAGAAAGGTGCGTGAATGTGTTGTTTAGCTAGAAAGCTAACGTTAAGTTTAAGCTACGTTAGACTTGGTTTGAAATCGATTAAGCAAAGAGACAAAACGGTAAATGAACACTAGAACCTCCAAGGGATTCATTTTGACTAACCCTGATACTGACGGGCTGTCAGGAGAGAGGAGAGAGAGAGAGAGAGA